TGGAAAGCAAAACCGTCAATAACCGTTTTCAAACTGGGTATGAAGATCACTCACTGGCTTGGGCGTACATTTGCTCTGAGTTGAGCTGTTTAAGAAGAGGCTATTAGTAACCCCGAGATTGAAGCTGGGAAGAACCAAATTGACGTACATCAAATGCTAAGTAGCCTAGCGCTGAGAAACCTATCAGAGCGCCTGTCGACACCACGGTCCACAATATAGTCCAAAAGGCGCGAGGGACCGATGGGAACATGACAGTGAACTGTGTAATATCACTCGTGTTTTGCTTCTTTTTGAATCTTTCATCGATCAAGTCCCCTAAAGTACGGGTATGAGTCAAACGATGGACAGTCACAGAGGTGAAAGGACTAACAGAAGGGGTAGAGCATACTGCATTTTGTATTTTTGGTAAGTAGTCGCGAGAGATGAATTTAACGCAATTTACTCACCATATAAGCCCCAGGAAGAGACAATACCATCTGAGGGCATTTCCATGGTCGATAAACCAGAATGCAATGACAAAGATCTCATAGATGATGGTGAGTATGATTGTACTATATTGTGGAAGAAAAAACATGTTAAAAACAAGAAAGGCCTATTGACGTGGCGCGAGTTTTGTCACATTGCCGCTGTGAGTGGTCACATACCTCTGAACGCATTATCGATATTGACCGTTTTTCAATGTTTTTTATACAGGCTGTCCTCACTGGCGGAACTATCCTTTCAATTAGCATTGATCCCAACTTGGGCGGTTGCTGCGAAATCGAGGGCGGCCATGCTCCTACCATCCTTTCTGCAGGTCAGTAATTGTTTTTGGACTTTGAAACGACTTTCTTTCTAAAGTTGTGCCCTTTATCGACCCACCGGTCGTTTTCAACCTATTTCCATTATTGGTAATCTGACAAATCTTGCGAATGCAGGATATTTTGGGTCCATAGCTTTCGGTGGAGCTCTACTCCTCGGTGGATGGGACATTCTCGTGGCAAAAATCCTCAGCTTTTTCATCGGCTTTGGCTTGTTGATGCCTCTCTCGCTCGTCCGGGATAAAATGTACGTTCCTCGCGCCACGTCAATAGGCCTTTCTTGT